TGTTGTTAAGCTATAAAAGCACTATATAAACAAATTTTAAAAATTAAAAAACGTTTGGTTCTTCATAGTTAAAAATGGCGCCAAACAAAAGAAGTTTTTCATTTTTTTGACATTTTGAGCTCCGATAGCTCAAAAAATTCAATACAGATTTTAACGAAATTTTGTGATTTATTTGTGACTATAAGGTACTTCTAAAATAACAAAAAATATTTATTTATTTTGCGATAGATTTTGAGCTACGCTGATTTGAAATCGGTGAAATTTTCAAAAAATTCATTTTTTTCTAGATTTTTTGTTCAAAATATCCTTTGATTCGAGACAATAACATTTATTTTTTTTGTTATTACATTGTTTCACTGATATGCACAAAAAATTTCATCAAGATATGTTGGCTAGTTCAAGAGATATAGCGTTCTACGTAGGTACAAGTTTTGAAAAAAATCGCTCAAAAATTTGAGGATGCTGTCACAAAAATCTTCATAACTTGAAAAATAATTGAAATTTTTTTATAAAAATTTTATTTTGTCGATGAAATACATTGAGGTACTTACTGTTCAAATTTTAAAAAAATCGGAGATGGTCGGGCGTGGACTTTTTTTAAATCGTTCAAGTTGACGGAGAATGACCCATATGTATATATATATGTATATATGTGTAAATATATTTCATTAACACTGATAGATTTTCTTCTATTGACAATTTTATTTTATTCTTATTCTAATTTATTTTTGTTGCATTATCATTGAGAAGCTATTTTGAGTTGCACGGTGGCCGAGCCCACAAGAATTAATTATCTTTTTTTGGTCTCCGAATCATTCATGCTTTTTGTTTTGTTGGATTGTGGATTGAATAAAAGTGATTTGATTTGATATATATATATATATATATATATATATATATATATATATATATATATATATATATATATATATGGTCTATTACCAACATTTACTCGAAGTTCTGCGACCAACCGACGTAATCTAACAATCGAACAAGATCGCGAGCAGCGACTGCTCCATCTCTCTCGAGAATTAGAAGTTAAAAAGAAGGTAGTTCAAGACTTGTCGAATAAAATCGAAAAGACGAACTACAAACATATTAACGCCAAACATTTGGTAGAATTTATAGAATATTGTAAAAATATATATATGTATATATATTTATTTAGAAGAAAACTTGTATAGCGACTTTTATAGAACTACGCAAAGTCGCTTTCCAGCATAACCAAAAAAAAATTTGTGTCCATTTAAGTGATCAAACAAAAACATAAATATTTCGAAAATAAACATAAGTATACATTGTAAAAAGATCTAAAACAAAACAGATAAATCCTTTAAATTCATGCACAGATGCACACATACTCTCGACCATACCCAATCACTCAAAGTAATGTAACAACCATATAAGAACAAAAACAGCAACTATTTTAAACCAAATCATAGATACATACATCCACACTTTATCCACACCGATCACACACAATTACGCTCAGAAGATGCACGATAACATATAATTCAGAACAACCAACAGATAAATACCCAACCACCAGCACACACACACACACACACACACATATATATATATATATATATATATATTCCATTCCATGATCCAAAAAATAATAGAACGCAAAGAACAAAAATCAGAGACTACAACAAAACAATTAACAAAAGTAACAAAAATAACATAGAAATATATAATAAGAATCACATGTCAACAGCTTTTGAACAGGAAGAAAAAATCATGAAAAGAATCTTAAAAAATAACGTCCAAGCAACCAACGAAAACGATAGTATTAAACTACGAATATACTACTCCAACCAAAGAACGTCATCTCTTGTGATGAAAAACAACTGCCCTAGTAAAGCAGAATTGATAATGGGTCATAGCCATTTAATATATTTGTTCAAATGTAATATTGATGAATGTGTGGGCACCATAATTTCGAATATATTGGTATGACGACGACCAAGTCATTGAGAAGATTTGGTACAAACTGATGCTATAAAGAATCAAATGAAAGAGAAACACAAAACTATAATTACTAGACATATCTTGGACCACAATGTTGAAATCTTACATTACAATAACAGCCATTATAATTTACAACTAGCCAAATCAATACTCATAGAACAAAGATTTCAAATAATAAATTGTATTTCTTCCTACCAATAAATTTATAAACAGAGGAATCATCGATAATGAAAACACGTAAAAGTGTTATATTAAACAAAGTTAAAGACCGTAAAACTAATTAAATGAGCGTTTAGTATTCACTTTGAACAAACAAGGAATCAACTAAGTAGAGTAGAGATACAGTATATATATATATATATATATATATATATTATATATATTTTGGTAACAGACTGTTGTTAACGCAACATTTCAAAAATTCAACACAACTTTCAACATTGTTCAACTTTTTTATATTTCTTTTTAATTTATTAATGTCAGAGAAATTAGATATTTTATTGTTTTTTAAAAATTTTTATTAAATAAATTTGCAAATAGCTATTTCGAGTTATAGATAACTCATCTTCAGTGCATTATATATAAGGTCTGTAAGATATTATACCGGAATATCTTACATATCTTATATATAATGCACTGAAGATGAGTTATCTATAATTCGAAATAGCTATTTGCAAATTTATTTAATACAA